CTATATTATGAAAGAGGGTAGTATTGATAAGCTCTGACGCTATCGGTTCTGCTTTTTATTTATTATTTCTAAATAATTGCTATTTTGCATATTTTATCTCACCAACCATTTATAATTTGCGATAATAATAATAATAATACAGAAAGAAGGTGGAACAGATGTTGCAGGAGAACAATATGTAGGAGGTCTGGGATTGAATGAAGACTATCACTGGACTGAGGAAGAGTGGTAGCTCTGTGGAGGGAGACCTGGATAGGGCAAATCAGTTGAACCACTTTTACAATAGGTTTGACTGCCCTGTTCCAGCTCCAATGGCAGTGGACTGTCCACTACCCTCTGCTGATTTAGACACTGCTCGTGCTTGTCTGCCTGTTCAACTCACACCTCCCCTCTCACTTTCGGTGCACTACGTACCCACACCATTAAAGGCTGATGTATTCAACCCTCATAAGGTGACAATGAATGTGACTACACCAACGTTGGTCACTAGTCACCGGTCTTCAGACATCAGACACCCCCTGCAGGTGCACCCATCCTCTCCCCCTTCCCTCTTCCTCTCCTCTCACCCCATAAAATCACGGCAGATGGAGTTAGAGGACAGCTGAGGAAACTATGCTTCTGAACTGGGGGAGCCACTGAAGCACATCTTCAACCTGAGTCTTGGTCTTGGAAGAGTTCCAGTATTGTGGATGACATCATGTCTTATCCCTGGGTGTGGATTATGCCATCACATATCTCCTGCACAGGATGCATGCTTACCTGGACATGGAGAAAAGTGTTGTAAGAATCATGTTCTTTGATTTCTCCAGTGCTTTTAATACCATTCAACCCCTCAGACTGGGTGACAAGCTCCTGCAGATGGGTGTGGATGCTCACCTAGTATCGTGGATTGCAGACTATCTGACAGAGCGGCCACAGTATGTAAGTCTGAAGAACTGCCTCTCGGACACTTTGATTAGTAGCACCGGAGCTCCACAGGGAACAGTGCTCTCTCCAGTCCTGTTCACACTGTACACTGACTTTTGCTATAACACAGAGTCATGCCACATGCAGAAGTTTTCGGACGATACCGCAATCGTGGGGTATATCAGGGATGGGGAGGAGGAGGAGTACAGGAGCCTGGTGGAGGACTTTGTGCAATGGTGTAAACTCAACCACCTACAACTCAACACTGCTAAGACCAAGGAGATGGTGGTAGATTTTCGGAAGTCTAAGACCGCTCTGCTGCCAGTCACCATTGAGGGGGTTAAGGTAGAGGTGGTAAACACTTACAAGTATCTGGGAATGCATTTGGACAATAAACTGGACTGTTCAGTCAACACTGAGGCACTGTACAAGAAAGGGCAGAGCAGGCTGTACTTCCTGAGGAGGCGCGTTCAGCGTCCTCTCAAGTCTGCAGCAAGCTTCTCTGCTGTGGTATGCTGGGGAGGAAGCACTAAGAAGAAGGATGCTGGACGACTGGACAGGCTGGTAAGGAAAGCTGGCTCTGTTGTGGGAGTGGAACTGGAGTGTATCACTTCAGTGTCAGACAAAAGGACCCTTAGAAATTAATGAATATTCTGGACAATGACTGTCATCCACTACATAACACTATCATAAACTGAAAGAGCCCAATCAGCTGGAGGCTACTCTCACTGCCATGCACAACTGACAGGCTGAGGAAGTCTTTTGTCCCTAGGGCTATACAACTATTCAATGCCTCACTTAAAGGAAGAGGTGAGATAGACTTCTCTGCATAGTCTATCTGCCTCTTCAACTTTTCATACATCCTCATACACTTATCCCCATACATCCTCATACACCTCTTACAACAATGTTGTGTACTGACTTACTGTGTGATTGTTCTACTGCTTATACTGTTTATGGACTATATTAGCCCACATGTATAACCCCTACCTTTAATTCTCAGTCTGGGAATCCGTGATTGTAAAAAAAAACTTGTGAAGGTGTCAAAATGAGCAAATGTTTGAGTGGTATGTTGGGATTCACACAGCAGTGTGGTCAACTCTAACTAAACTGTGTGGAGGAGGACGCAAGCGCAGGAGCCGAGACGTGAGGGCAGGAACAGTCCAAGTTAGACAGTAATGCACGATGTGAGGGGTATCCAGAGATGCAGGCGTGAGCAGATACTGAATCTCAATAACGGTGTTCCAGAGACGTAGAGGTAAACACGCAGATAGTCGGGTGGAAACAGGTAATGTTCAGATATGCGAGTTTATCAGAGACGTGGTCGTAAACAAGCAGGGTGTCGTCATAAAACAAGGTAATACCCAGCAATGCAGGTTATCCAGAGACGTGGTCGTAAGCAGGCAGAAGGTCAAGATGAAACAGGTAATACAGAATTGTGAGGATAATCCAGAAGCGTAGTCTTAAACAAAGTGGGAAGTCAAAACCAACCAGGTGAATTCACAGCATACGGAAAGCTTGGTATCGCAGCTAACATACGTTATGGAGCATATACTTCGCTCCATAACGTATGCCAAAGGCTAGTCACAGGTGTTGCGAATCAGAACTCCACTGATCTTGAATGCATGCGCGTTTGTGTTGGATTCTGGGAACTGGAGTCCAGGTCGGACGGGATTGAGCGCATGCGCGCTCGTGTTGCATTCTGGGAACCGCTGTTGTGTAATATATAGATGTAGCACTGGATTACAGAAATAACTCCAATCATTTTATACACTACATGCACAATGGGTTTTAAATAATATCTGAATATTTCTTCAGATTCTGTATATTTGAGTCATCTTTTTCACATTATTCAGATTTGTCTCAATGAATTAAGCATATTCACTTCTATGCATGATTCCCTGGAATCAGTGCTGCAGGATTTCCAATTCAGTCCTGTACACAAGTCTCCTGAACACAACTCACAATCTAGTCCTTTGTAAAGTATGCTGCAAAATACCACTTCCGCAACCCTGAGAGTGACATGGGGAGCCGCTTTCTCCAGCTGATTCCAGTTTGTGATTATCCCTGGGAGCTTTATCATGGCCGCTAAACCCTGTGGACCGCTTATTATATCCATAGTTTTAATGTCTGTTATTTGTCCCTGTTCCATGTCTTCCCAAAGCTGTGCATATTCCTGGTCCTGTCCTCCTTCATCATATTTAATGATACGGTGTAAAGGGGCCTCCACCTCTTTGCAATCTGACACATGTGCTGCAGCTATGGTTTCCATTCTGCGTATCTGTGCCAGAGCTCTGAGTGGGATAGGTCGGATATTTCCAACCAATACACTACACTCGCTTCACGGGCTGTGCGTTTGGGTTCATGCAAAAGTAGGTATTGTGTGGCTATAGGTCTGGCAAATCCCAGTCACCTCACACTGTATCTGAGACACCAGCTTACACAGCTGTCCTACTTACTTACTTATGTCCTAGTAGGTTAACAGGTGCTCCTGGTGAATATAACAGTATTATATAATAGCATGTATTGTCATGCCATCCAGAATTAGTTCTTGTGGCTCGGTGAATCGTAAGGTCTGTATTTTCCCTGAGAAGCCCATGGTTTGTATCGCTTTACATGTGAGGGGGAGCTGTGAGCCTTCTTTCCCAATACTTGAATATGTATAAATCATAAATGGCATCTGCAAGGTGTTTCGGATCGTCACTGTGACAGTTGGCTCTTGTTCCGGGTGCAGTGTGGTGACGGACTGCATCAGCTCCCCCAGGGCTTCTCTAGACCTCCTCAACTCTGGTTGGGGCCCTGCTCCCCGTAGGGGCCATATATGGGGCCACCACAAGACCAACTTGGGCGGACCGCGTGGATAGGGCCGAAAGGCGAGGCCAGATGTTCAGACCAAGAGTGCCTCACCTGACACGAGAGGGCTACAGAATGCCATCTCAGTGGCAACCTCAACCCCCAATGCACTCAGGTGTGGCCAATTTCTTCTGAGGTGGCTAAGGTCGTCGCATTCCCGGCACCCTTCAGCTTCCACATTTGGTCTATGTGGAAACTTGCCACGGCCGTAGCCTCGTCCTCTCCCCCAGGCGGGGGGCCCTTGGTACATGGGGTTCCCACATGATATGTGTAATCCATTGGGGCAGGTTGCATCATGGAAGTCATGTGTTGTGCTTGTGGTTGCAGTTGGGCCTGATATCCACTTGGCTGTGTCAAAGGGGCAGCCTGTGCTGAGGCTGTTGCTTGCTGGGGGGCACCATCAATGCTGCTTGTTTGGTGTGTTCTTTCCTCCGTTCCTTTTATCCGTTCTTGTCAGTTCGCTGAGTTGTGCTTTATAAAGTTGGGTCATTAGGATTTCAGTGGCATCCTTGGCCTCTTTTTTCAGCTTTTTGTGTTGTTCCATGTGATGGGTCACATGTGCTAGAACTGAATTCCATTCCATTGTGCTGAGTACCACTACTTCTTCTAACTTCTTCTGCACCTCCCCTGGGAGAGCCTTCTTCAGCAATAGTTTGAACAGTCCCATACTTTCCACTGAATCAGCCCACTTGGCACCCGTTTCATCCCTCCATTTGTTTTGGAAATCTTGTATGAAGGTAATAACATTCTCTTAATCTTTCAGCTTTATATTTTCGATTTTCCCTGGGCCCATCATTGCCGGATGCATGCTTCTCACTGCGTTCCATATTTCTTATCAATACGGGCCAAACGGGATGGCATCGGCCTGCGGGTCGTCTATCAAATCTCCATGTTGGTCCGTATTGAACGTCTTCTCAGCCCACCCCTTGCTCACTGTTCAGCAGAAAATGGCTTTAATGTCACCAATCGCCAGATGCTGTCCTAATGTTTTTTCCTCAAACTGTGTAATCCATTTCTGCCCTCCTTCAAACATGTTGGGTTGGGTTGAATCAGACCAGTCAGATCCATGAAATTCCAGGGTGTGTAATGCGGGGCTTTTCCATGACCAATGACCATGAGAGGCATCTTCCAACCTGCGAGATCTTCCAATTCATCCATTTTACCCACCCTGTATGATATCCCAATCTCCAAATGCCGAACTCTGCCTTCAAAATACGCTGTCATCAAAATACCATGCATATTGCAGAAACCCAGGATCGAACCAAGGACATTCAGACCCTCAGTCGGACGCTCTCCCAACTGAGCTATTTCGGCACCCATGACTAGGATAAAACACTTTTCATTACAATTTGCCCTTTTACCATTTTAGTTTTTGCAGGTTCCACTGATATTTATCAGATCAATGTCTCCCAACTGAGCTGTTTTGGGCAATGGACACAAAATCAGTACTATAACAAACAAAAATCAGAAAAGGTCCATTTACATCGTGATTGGAAATTTCTTCTTAGAGCAATCAGGAACATGCCACCATCAGAGCTCCAGACTAATGTTCCAACAGCCATGTTCTGTCAGGAAAAGCACACATGGACTCAACTTCATTGACCAAAGAATTCAGGTTCTACAGAGATTTGAATTCAGCTCACTGGATTCAGAGTCCAGAGTGATTACACCATGGAACCAAGCTGCACTATGAGCTGTGTTTTCTTCAGGCAAATACTGCTGAACATGTGTGTGTGTGTGGGTGTGTGTGTGTGTCAGCATCATGGTTTGTGCTTGGTGCAAAATTTCCAACTGTCTCAGGAAAATATATTGTTGCATTTTATTACAGTTAGAAATACTAAATCTGGACAAAAATAAATAAATCAGACCTTTATCGTCTGTCACTTTGTAAAGAAACATTATGTGCCTGCGCACATAAACATTCATGTCAATGTGTTCTCCATATTGAGCCGCGCAAGACTGTCCTATTAACAAACACAAGTAAATGGGGCAGCTGTGGTTTTTCTGGATAAAAATCACAATAACGTTTACATTTCAATGGTTTATGATCTATGTGGAGTACAACAAAGTTCTGTCTCCAGTTACTTAGAATCTCGATAGTTGGACTTGGAAAATGATTCATTGTCATAAGGAATTGTGAAAACTTGTGTGTGTGTGTGTGTGTGTGTGTGTGTGTGTGTGTACTAAAAAGGTATGTGATCCAGCATTGTCTTGTTACCTGTTAGTGTGCTGGGCCTGAGTGTGTGTGAGGTTGTGTCCTTGGTTGTAGGGAAAATTAACTGTTTGGTTAAATTGTTGTATTCTCCACCATTATATGTAACAAAAATGAACTGTTTAAATTGAGATATTGTATTCTCCACCAAATTTGCATGATAGACTAGCAGGGGAAATTTGGCTAATTTAGTATTTCTGATCAACTATTCATATAGTGATAAGCTGAACTTAGCATGTTAATTAATTATGCATTAGATATTTCCTCCGTGGGCGTCGCCAATAAGGCCGGTAATCTCCCACCACACGTATGATTGCGCTATTTACCTACTTCCAGGGGACAGTCTACCGCGAGGGCGAGTATATCCTCTTTCCCAGGCGGAACAACAAGCCATGGAAGACTACATTCAATAGGCCCTTCATCAGGGATACATACGACCATCCACGTCCCCCGTGTCAATGGGTTCTTCTTTGTGGAGAAGAAGGGCGGGGATCTCCGTCCGTGTATCGATTATAGAGCCCTCAAACAAATAACTGTCAAGTACAGTTATCCACTAACTCTGGTCCCATCAGCCTTGGAACAATTACGTTCCGCTGTTATTTTCACCAAATTGGACCTTCGGAGTGCCTACAACTTAATTCGCATCAGAGAGGGTGATGAGTGGAAGACGGCCTTCAGCACGACCTCTGGGCATTATGAGTATCTGGTAATGCCGTATGGACCCTTCGGTATTTCAGAACCTCATTAATGACATCCTACTGGACATGCTGGGATGATATGTGATCGCATATGTAGACGACATTTTAATTTACTTGACCTCCTTGGAGGAACACGTCCGACATGTCTGGAGCGTATTACATTGCCTCCTTTGGCATCATCTTTTCGTCAAGGCCGAGAAGTGCGAGTTCCATCGGCGCACATCTCGTGCCTGGGATACGTCATTAGTTCACGGGGGTCGCCATGGACCAACACAAGATTCAGGAAGTAGTGGGATGGCCCTCCACATGTGCCACTAAGAAGCTGCAATGGTTTCTTGGCTTCGTTAACTTCTAGAGAAGATTCATCCGTGACTTCAGCAAGGTAGCACAACCCCTGACCACGATCCTGAAGGGTAAGCCCCAGCACCTGATGTGGTCCCCAGTCGCCCAGGAGGCTTTTGAGAAACTGAAACGGGCATTTACCACGGCTCCCATACTCCGACACCTGGATCCATCTAAACCATTCGTCGTGGAGGTCGACGCCTCAGAAATCGGAGTGGGGGCCATTCTGTCGCAGAGGTATGGGGAGAAGCCCAAAATGCACCCAGTAGCTTACTTCTCCCGCAAGCTCTCATCGGAACGTAACTATGATATTTTCAATCGGGAACTACTGGCTATTAAACTGGCCCTTGAAGAGTGGAGACATTGGTTGGAGGGAGCTCTACACCCATTCGTAATCTTTACTGAGCACAAGAACCTGGAATATCTGAGAACAGACAAACGCCTCACCCCCCGCCATGCCCGCTGGTCTTTATTGTTCTCTCGGTTCGACTTCACCCTGTCGTATCGCCCAGGTTCACGGAATACCAAGGCCACACATACACACCCTGGAATGACAGAGGGAGTCTGAGAAATATGTAATACCACTGTCCTGTATAGCGGGCTTCCTACAATGGCCCCTAGAGCAACGCCTTGCTAGGGTTCCCAGCTCCCGGATCCCAGTTAACTGTCCGCCAGAGAAACAGTTTGTTCCTAGGCAGTACAGAACTGACCTGATTACCTGGACCCACATGACTCTCGCAACAGGCCACCCAGGAGCCCGTCACATGTTTCAATTACTTTCTGAAAAGTACTGGTGGCCAAAAATGTCCAGGGAGGTTCAGCGCACGGTGTCCTCATGTTCGTCTTGCGCATCATCCAAGGAGTCCCGTGCTCTCCCTATGGGCAAGTTGGTGCCCTTACCCATACCGGAGCGTCCCTGGTCACACCTAGCCCTCAACTTCATCACAGACTTGCCGAGGTCACAGGGGAACTCAACCATTTTGGTGATTGTGGACTGATTTTTGAAGGCTTTGTGCTTAATACCATTACCAGCCATACCATCCACCTTCACCACAGCGGAGCTCCTATTCCAACATGTGTTCTGATATTTCGGCATCCCTGAAGAGATCGTGTCAGATAGGGGACCACAGTTCTCCTCAAGGGTATGGGCTAGTTTCATGAGGAAGATTGGGATCACAGTTAATCTCACTTCTGGTTATCACCCCCAAGTGAACGGTCAGGCAGAACATGCTAACCAGGAGGTGATACGAATTCTCCGATCCTACTGCTCTAAGCTGGGAGATTGGAGTCAGTATTTGCCATGGGCCAAATATGCCCAGAATTTCCTACGGCATTCCTCCACCCAGCTCACCCCATTCCAGTGCATGTTGGGGCACCAACCCCCATTATTTCCCTGGAACGCTGCTCCCACTGACTCCGCAGCAGTAGATGAGTGGTTCCGACATAGTGAACAGGTCTGGGAACTGGACCACCAACAGCTAATTCGGGCGTCTCAGGTGGCTAAACAGAAGGCAGACCGGCGCAGAAGAGAACACCCCAAGTATCAATTCTGGGGACAGAGTGTGGCTCTCCACAAGGGATTTACGTAATCCCGGGAGCTCTAGGTTTCAACCGAAGTACATCGGGCCCTTCCGCATATTGAGGCAAATCAATGAGGTTACTTATCGTCTGGACCTCCCCAAGCACAGTCGTGTCTCCCCATCCTTCCATGTCTCCCTCCTTAAACCAGTGGTTCCGGGCACCCTGGCTTTAACGGTACCTGGCAGTCCCTCACCAGAACCATTGATGATTGAGGGTCGACTGGCCTACCACGTCTGGGAGATTCTCGACTCCAGAAGGAGGGCTTCAGCATCTGGTGGATTGGGAGGGATACGGGCCGGAGGAGCAGTGTTGGGTCCCAGCCCGGGACATTCTGGATGCAGGGTTACGCAGGGACTTTCATGCTGCCCATCCAGACAGACCGGCCCCCCGGGCGAGGGGAAGACCTCGGAGAACTTCCGCTCCCGGAGTGAGCCCTTGGGGGTTCTGTTACGACGCGGTGAGATCAGAGTAACATTCCATCACATGTAGTCCCACCTAGACACATGGCGGATAAGGTCTACATTTCCCTGCCTAGCCCGCGCTCAAGTTCACCGGAGTTCTGATTGAAACACCTGTACATGATTTAGGTTATTTAGGGACCTCCGAAGCTGCCGCCCAGAGCAAAATATTTGTCTAGCAGATTCTGCTCTATGTGTTACTAAGCTCCATGTTTTTCTAGTACAGTGCCTTGCGAAAGTATTCGGCCCCCTTGAACTTTTCAACCTTTTGCCACATTTCAGGCTTCAAACATAAAGATATTAAATTTTAATTTTTTGTGAAGAATCACCAACAAGTGGGACACAATTGTGAAGTGGAACGAAATCTATTGGATATTTTTAACTTTTTTAGCAAATAAAAAACTGAAAAGTGGTGCGTGCAAAATTATTCGGCTCCTTTACTTTCAGTGCAGCAAACTCACTCCAGAAGTTCATCGAGGATCTCTGAATGATCCAATGTTGTCCTAAATGAATGATGGTGATAAATAGAATCCACCTGTGTGTAATCAAGTCTCTGTATAAATGCACCTGCTCTGTGATAGTCTCAGGGTTCTGTTGAAAGCGCAGAGAGCATCATGAAGACCAAGGAACACACCAGGGAGGTCCCTCTAAACTTTTAGCTCAGACAAGGAGAAGACTGATCAGAGATGCAGCCAAGAGGCCCATGATCACTCTGGATGAACTGCAGAGAACTACAGCTGAGGTGGGAGAGTCTGTCCATAGGACAGTCGTACACTGCACAAATCTGGCCTTTATGGAAGAGTGGATATCCATAAAAAGTCTCGTCTAAAGTTTGCCACAAGCCACCTGGGAGACACACCAAACATGTGGAAGAAGGTGCTCTGGTCAGATGAAACCAAAATCGAACTTTTTGCCCACAATGCAAAACGATATGTTTGGCATAAAAGCAACACAGCTCATCACCCTCAACACACCATCCCCACTGTCAAACATGGTGGTGGCAGCATCATGGTTTGGGCATGC